TAAGTCGACTTGGCAGAGCAAAAAACCAACAATCCAGAGCAGAACGTAAGTCGACTCATGCACCAACATAAGTCGACTTACCATAAGTCGACTTATGCCTGTGCATGAGTCGACTTATGACCAAAAATCTGCTTTTTCCAATTCTTCTCCACAATTCTCCACCTCGGCGAAGTTTTCCCAAAACTGAGCCGACACCAACCAAACAAATGCCTCACATGCTGAGACCCAAATGAGAGTGTGAACACTCACCCCAAATGTCGATGTCGCTCACCAAATCGGCTGCATCAAAATGACTGCCTACGTATCCTTTGCCCAAGGAATCAAGCCTTCACGTAGTTCACCCAAACGGCCTCCAAAGGCCCTCAATCAAATAGAAAAGTCTGCAACTCTTCTCCAATATCACCAAACGATCTGCAACTGATAGTATTCCCAATGACCCCAAATTGAGACAAATCAAACACCTCCACCTGAGGTAAACCAATGGCCATATCCAAACTATATCTACCAGCTGCAACTGAATCCAAAACCAATCCATCATCTGCATCCAAAACCAAATGATCTCCAACCTGTGTCACCTTAGCTGGAATCCCAAATGACGCAGTATGATCTGGAGTATGTGGAGTAATCTCCACCCAACGTGGAGTAGCATCACTCTCCACCTGCTGCGATATCCAAATGACCTGATCAACACTCTCCACCTGCCGAGAGTCAAAAGTGACATACCTGCTCAGAACAAAATCAGAAGCTCCCAAACGATAATCAACTGAGCCTCCGAACCCCAAACGCGCAATCGGATCCAATCTCACATCCACGATGTGACCAAATGCTGGGTATCCAAATATCCGACGCGACCCAAAATCTGAAGCAGCTCCACCAGATCTAATAACTCCTAAAGCAGCAGTCGGCGACCTATGCATAAGATGACCCAAATATGTCGAAGCCCGCACACCAATGCCAATGCTCGACATCAAACGCCGATCCTCCTCCAGAAAGGAACGACCCATCGAAACTGTCATCTCATCTCGTCGCCCCAAAGTCTCCACACCAATGAAGTGTCTCCTATTGCCGTGAGCTCGGCACCAACGCAAGAAAGGACCCCTACCAAAGCTGAAACAATGAGTTACCTTTCTGCCAATACACTTCTTCCAATTGTTGTTGACTTCTAGGACTTTACACCAACGGGAACTGGTCGCGACCCAATAATGCCTAGAACAATCACCAACTGTGGAAACCAAGATACGATTACCTCCCAATGATGCCTCCTTGGAAGGCCCCCAAATGCCTGACTGAACACCTCCAAAAAGACCCCTCGCTCGATGGATAGAAGTGCCAAACTCCACCACGGTCTCGCTCATCCTAATGTGCTCACAGGACTTCAATCTGCAGGTCATAGCACTCCTCAACAACCAATGCACGGTATTACCAATCATATACCCCAGCACCAAACAATGCCACAGTCTAGCCGAATCTGATGAAGTCGTCATTTCCCTATCAATCACCGTGCTTCCGTGCAAATAATACAAATTTCTTCTTCTGACGCCCTTCATCACAATCATGGACCCAAATGTAACCTTCAAGCGTGCATCCGCCAAGGTCACCCTATAGCCAGCTGCCTCCAAAGCTCCAAGTGAAATGATGTTCTTCTTCAACTGAGGAACGAACCTCACTCCAACCAACTCCCGAATCACCCCGTCACTCATCCTGATCCGAACAGTACCAATACCACCAATAGAGCATTTGTGATCATTCCCCATGAGCACGAAATCCCCTCTTTCCAACTCCTGAAAGCTGGAGAACCAATCCCTCCTAGGGCAAATGTGGTATGTAGCACCCGAATCCAATATCCACTCTGTAGAGTAGGCAACACAAACTGACGGCAGTGCAGATAACGAGTAGCCCGAAGAATCCGAATCTGAATCGTTGCCACTAGCCTTGACAACATTCGCCTCTGAAGCTTGAATAGCTTTTCCCTTATTCTTCCCGGCTCGATCAACTAACTTTGGGCAATCGGCTTTCCAATGTCCATCTTCTTTGCAAAAGGCACATTGATTCTTACGAACTCCAAGATGTGCCCCTCTAGACTGCGACCTCCCACTACGGTTTGGACCCTTTGCTCTTGCGACCAACGCCCCCGCTACCGGCTCAAACGAAGTCTCCTTATCCTTCTTTCGAAGCTGATAATTCACAAGTGCAGCGGTGACCTCACTATACGAAAGAGATGCCTTCCCATTAATAAGAGTAAGAACGAAGGTCTCATATTCCTCGTCAGGCAAGGAACTCAATAGCAACAACGCCTTGTCCTCATCTTCAATCTTAACATCCACATTCGCCAAATCCGCAAGAAGCTTCGTGTAGTGGTTCATGTGATCACCAATGGAGGTTCCTTTCTTCAACTGGAAGCGGTAAAGCCTCCTCTTCAAATGCAAGCGATTCTCCACACTCTTGGTCAAATACTTGCTCTCAAGGATCTCCCAAATCTTCTTTGCAGAAGTCTCATTGATCACATCATACTTTAGATCTTGAGTGAGACAAGACCTAATCACACCACACGCCGTTCGATTCATCTTTTTCCAAACCTTCTCATCAATGTTGTCCGGTTTCCCGTCCAACTCCAACGTATCTTCCAAATTTTGCGCGTTGAGCGCATCCATGACTTCGCATCGCCAAAGTCCAAAATTGTTTGTGCCATTGAACTTTTCCACATCAATCTTCATTGAGTGGATATTCAAGCTTTGGACGGTCTTCACGCCGGAAGTACTGCCCACAACTCCTTCTTTCTCGGCCATAATCCTCAAGGCACCACCAAACCAATGCGGAAACAAACGAGAAATAGATCCAAACTGAAAAAGACGAGATTTTTACAAAAAAAGATCCCACCTTTATCACCAAACGAAGCCCTAGATGAACTTCCAAAGCGATCTACTCCTCCAAATAGCCCAAGCGTTGCCCGTGCTCTGATACCACTTGTTGTGACACCCCAACCCACCAAAAAAAACAAAACAAAACAAAAATTCCCATGCGATGTTCGGATGCTAATTTTAGAATATATTTAACTCTTACTATTTGTCAAACTCACTACTAAACAAAACAAAATCCCAATATAAATAGAATTAGGGTATGTTTAGAATTGGATTTTGATAGGATTACAATAGATTTTAAAATTAAGCGTTAAAATGATATAAAATTAGCATACGAGTGTCACATGAGAATTTTAGAGAAAACTCTCATGTCTGTGTAACTGAGAGTACTAAAATGAAAAGTTTAGAAACTTTAAGTTACCAAGTGCAGCCAAATACAACTTGGGTTGTATGTGCAAAGTAGGTGAAGCTATAAGGCATTTAAGTGCAATAATCCATAGATTAATTTATAGTGACTTATATGAGTTCGAGAATTAAATATCAATTTCAATGATTTGAAAGACTGTTAAAAAAATATGAAATATTTAAGCTAACTCATATCTAGATCTAGAAAAGCCAAAAGAGAGAGAACTCTTATGAAACTCATAATTAAGAAAATAATACTCCCATAGAATGAGAGAATTATTTTTATATTATTTCAAATTTATCTTCTTACTGCACATGTGGATGTGGGTCTTGATAAGTTTTCACTCACTGCTATTACCTTATACATGTAATGGACATAAATTAATGTTGGATAAGAAAAATCTTCCTTTTCTTTTAGGGTAAATTACACTAAACCCCCATACACTTTTAATATTTTGCACTGAACCCTTATGAACCTTTAAAATTACAATAAACCCTCATTAACTTTTTTGTTTTGCAGGAAAGTCCAATGCATTTCAGCATTTTGCATATAAGCCGCATAAATTGGAACAAAAAAAAACAACATAAAAAGGCATTTTGAAAGTTATTGGGAGTTTAGTACAATATAAAAAAGATATTGGGGTTTTCTGAAAATTTAATCAGGGATTTAGTTCAATTTTGAAAGTTCATAGGTGATAGTCCAAAATAATGTCAGTTCTTGGGGTTTTACTGCAATTTACCATTTCTTTACGATAAGATAGGACAAAAAAAAAGTTAAATTGTGCAATAAATTAGCAAACCTTCTGGATGTCTCATATCAGCTAGCATATATATAATAATCTTAGCACCATCTTTAAAAAATTATAAGGAATCCTATTCTGCCCTATAAATATTACAGCATCATTACAATTCTTTAACAAAAAACCCAGTCTAGTTTGTGATAAGCATGTAGCTTGCATAATGTATTTTATAAGTCACCGTCTATTCCATTAGTTATGTAGCAAGATATGTTTGAGACACTTTTTTTTTTGATCGAAAAACAGGGGTAGAACCCCGTTCATTAAAATATCAAGAATCCAAAAAAAAAAATTTAGTTACAAAAGTAAGACACGAACTGTGTCCAAAATGTTGGAAAATAGAAAATGAAAATTCTACTAGTAGTGATGTATAACTTTCTTCGTCCAAAGATCCATGAAGATGAAGAGAGGGTCTTGCCGTCATTCACCGTTGACACAGATTTAAGGATAAACCAAAGCCAGCCATACATGTGCATAGTAGAATTTTAATTTTCTATAGTCAACATATGAAAGATAAGGAACAACTATATACACAACAAAAACTATATAAAAGATGACTCAAAAAGTCCTCCATCTTCAGATACTTGCTCGAGAAAGAGGAAATTCTTCAAATCTTGCAGAGAGTTTCTTTGCCGCAACACCTCTTCCATTATCTGACCAATCATATAAGCCATAAACCGACTGATTAATAATCTTCTTGTAAGAAAAAGTAGTTTTGTCAAAAATTGATTTATTCCTACTGATCCAAACACTACCACATAATTGATCTATTGCAGCGGTTAAGACGCAACGGTTCTAACTGTTGCGTTAGATATCTATCGTAACGATTTATAGTAACTAATACAACATTTAATAAAAAACGTTGTCATAAGTCAAATAATTGTTCATGGGCTTAATATTTATTAGTGGGTTTAGGAGTTGAGTTTGTAAAGCCCGTCTGACCGCAACCAAATCTCTCTCTCTCTCTCTCTCTCTCTCTAACGAAATCCCTAAAATCCCTAAAATCGTCTCCAAAATTTTTCGATCCCTAAAATCGCCGTGGCCAAGATCTCGTCGCTGTTTTCTGATCGGATCTCATCTCCAAGCTCCTCTCTGATCTCGTCGCCGTTAGTTTCGTCGTCGAGCTAGTCACCGTTTTCTAGGGTTTGCCATTCTCTCCAATCTCTCCGATCTCTTCGAGCTACTAATATCGTCGTCATGCTACTCTCGTTGCCATTCCAGTCTTGTTCGTCATCGTCAAGCTACTAATATCGCCGTCAAGGTACAAAATTTCCGATTCCAGTTCCTTTAATTTCTGATCTCTACAATTTCTTCCCCCTTTCTATCTTTAAAAATCTCTTCTTCATTTTTCTTAGGTGCTGCGGATAACGTCGTCAAGCTACTAATCTCGTCGATCCCTGAGGTAAGATTCATTAACGTAAAAGCTATTTCTTCTCAAAAAATTGGATTTATTTATTTTCTATTGGGTAATGACAGAATGTTGGTTGTGATTAGCTACTAGGTTAGGCAAGTGGGTTAATTAAATTGAGGGGATTTGCTTATATCTTGATTTAAGTAACTGTTGAATCATTGTTTTATTGATCTTTAAATTTTTTGATTTTCTGCGGGATATTGAGTGAGAGCTTATCATGCTCCCTCAATTATTTCTGGTTGATTGCTGCAAGCTTGTCAGCTACAAATGAACCAGAAAACACTCTAGAATCATTTTCACACTGTCGATGATCCTCCAATATACTGAAAGTCTCAATAATGGTCTACCTAGAATTAGTCAACCTCGCAATATAATGAAGAGAAGATCGTTGAACTGCCAAAAGTTCAAAGCTAAGATCATGGTTTCCATGCTTAAATAATGCCAAACTCATCAGTTATCTACAAAGATATAAATCATTGCAAAAAAAAAAAAAATTTAATTGCTAAACTAGAGTTGTCAAAATACAACGGGTTGTCTGAAATAAAACTATGTGAGCACACATGTATATTATACTGAAAATTGTATGTAAATATCAATATGTCGAACTCTATGAAGATCTGGATTTGTAAAAGGAGCTTGGACATCATGACATTTTCAGTGCTAGAAAATGTAATGCCTTTTAAAACCCAAATGAAAACTGCAACTTGCTCTTCATACCAGAAACATGTTCCATATGTTTATGTTATATTGTACAACTTTATCTTCATAACTTATCATTATGATAGTCTTAAGATTTTTACTCGACGAGAAAGCTTACCGCACTCATCTACATAGCTATTTGTTTCCATATGAAGGATGCATTCATGCTGTACTGAAGCTTTTCTTGCTAGTTCAATTGTATACGAGACCTTATACCTTATCGATCAAAGTTCTGCACAGATCCAAGGAACCATGAGAGCATGGGAATCGGTAATGGTGAAATGCAATGAACTTATTGCTGCATTAGTTCACATGATTTGTGGAGGTCAAAAGGAATCTGATGAGAACTTGTAGAAGGAGATAATTATGGCCGACAGGGGACAAGGGGAGCAACAAGCTTTTTAAATAAATGCTATTGCTGATCAATAATCTCATCTTTGTCCACCTAATCCCATTTATTCTCTCTTTTTGCATTTTCAAAAGTCCAAGAATCTTCTCCCTTCAGGATGCCTGTATGACAAAGAGTTGGTGTATAACATAATTTGGATTGTAACTAAGTAAATTTCTTAGAGTGGCTCAGGGTTGTAATAAAAATGTTGAAATTCATTGTAATTGCAAACTTTCAGGTTTAAGTGAGTGGATTCTTCTTGAGAGGTTAGATTCATGAGGAACAAAACTTTCCTCAGAGGGTGACAAAATCTAGCATCCAAACAACCATTTATCTCATACCCTCTTTTTCACATCACGAACCTTGTGATCCCTGTATCAGCTTCAGGTTCCTACAATTGTCAAGGTAAGATTTAAGGTTCCAAGTTCCAACCACTTGGATTAAAATTATCACGATGATTTGTAGCACCTCTCTATTTGAATATCCCAAACCTAGAGCCATCCCAGATCATACTACTTTGAAGGATATCATATCCACAGAAAAGATATGAGGTGAACATTCTCTCTCTCTCTTTTTTCAAAAGCCAACGTTCAGCTATTTCTTAATTTAACAAAGTTTTACCTGCAAATATTTTGTTCTGTGGACAGGCACCAAGCAACGAAGATGCGGTGAAGTTAGGCCTTGCCGTTTTAAGTGCCTTTAAGGAGTTTCCGGCTCTTGACGTTTCAGCACTGACCAACTTTGTTCAGAAATCCTGAGTCTACTCTTGCAAGAGAAAAGTGGCTCTTGACGTTTCAGCACTGACCAACTTTGTTCAGAAATCCTGAGTCTACTCTTGCAAGAGAAAAGTGCTGATGGCCTTGAATGTGAATGGATATCTTGAATTATTATCATAGTTATTATCCTTTCGGTTAGTTGTGATTTCTTCCTATTGCATCATTAAGAAATGCTAAATGGGATAATGAAAAATTAGACCATCCTATTTTCTATGTATTGTAGAATTTTATATTTATATTAAAGTCAATCACTTGAAAGTGTAAAAATAGATGCATTACACTCCTTATGGAGGAAAAGTATTTAAATTTTGAAATAGCAATTGTTTATCAGACCTCATAAATGTGCATACTGATCATAAACAATGTACACATTTTCATTTGTTAATTATCACTCACTTTGATCTAGAATAAAAGTCATGTATTGATGTCTTTAGAACAGTGCTGTAAAACTAATATGAGAATGGCTGCTGAGGCAACTGAGACTAAGAATTGATTTTTGATAATAAATATGAGAATAAGTATCATGAAAACTATAGCTACCTACATGAGAGGATATAAATGTTATAAAGAAGCTAATAACCTGAGGAATGGTGGACTACAATGGTTCACAGCTGATTAATAAGTTTTTGGGTCTTGTGATTGTTGTTACTTTTTTACTACCAAAAGCGGGAGTAATATCTCCTGATCCCACAAAGTGTCGATAAAGAATCAGAACATACTCGTGAATAGTCACTATTCCTGACATCAGTTCTCCTTGATATATTTTTTAGACTTACAAATCTTATGGCATTATATTTGTTTCATGGATTGGAGTTCTCCTTAGGTAGTTAAGTAGGTTGTTCTTCAAACACAGGTAAAAACCGATCTTCTCGTTTGTATCAAAACTGCATCTCAGTTTTGCATGAAAACATATGATTGATGTTGAATTAGAAAATATGAGTTCACTGATTAGCATGTGAATCATTGTACGTGCACATGCAAATTGGTTTATCTTAAGTTATAGAGGGAATGTGTTGAGTTTATAGTGTTCAGATTGTTGTTTAACATGTAAACAAACTTTAGTATATCATGTAAACAAACTTTCAAGGTCTACTCTTTTATGACTGGATAAAATAGCTTCATCTATTTTTTGCCTATATATTATCTTGCATTTGAATAACTAATAATCAGAGTTGAAAGAGTATTATGAATCATAATATATTAGTGCTGTGAAATAAAATATAAATCTAATGTCAAACAATTCTCTTGATCTGAATGAACTATGTAGTTGCTCAAAAGGAAGCTTATGGTATCTGCCAAGTATTATTCAAGCACATGTTGTACGAACTGTTCAATTATGGTAGGTTTTAGGGTTTATCCCTCGAGTTGCTTCAGATAACTCTTTGGGCTTTTTGTGAATTTGAGGGGAAAAAGGTAGCATCTTGTCGGATATGTTCTTTACACCTTGCTATATCAATGCTAAAAGAATTTTTTTTTACTTGCCCCATAAATCATTGTGTGTCTGTATAATTATCACCTTAGACTTTTGCGTACTTGATCTATCAAAGTGTTTCAAAGAGTGTTTTTCTTCTTCTTGTCCTTTGTGCAATTTCAGATGCATCTTAATAGTTCTACATACATTTCCCCCTTGAACTTTCAGGGTGGTGGATTCAGGGGTAGGAGTGATGGTGGCAGAGGCCGAGGAAGATGAGGTGGAGGGCGAGCTGGTCCTGAAGGCCGGGGTGGTGGTGGAAGAGGACGCGGTGCTGGTTGAGGTGGTGGTGGAAGAGGGCGTGGTGGAGGTCGCGGTGGTGGCTGTGGAGGTGGAATGAAGGGAGGAAGCAAAGTAGTGGTTCAGCCGCATAGGCATGATGGAGTCTTCGTTGCCAAGGGGAAGGAAGATGCCCTTTGTACCAAGAACATGGTTGTCGGTGAATCCGTTTATGGTGAGAAGCGCGTTGCTGTGCAGGTGATTGTTCTTGGTTTTTATAAGCTTTTATTGATTATGGGGCACTTTTGTTGAGTCTGATGTCCAATTATGGTTTTTCAAGGGGGTTCAGGGCTAGTTGCAGCTGCTACTGGTACAAATGGGCAAATCAAGGTTATATAATCACTCTTTTACTTGTTGCTTGTAAGTAACAATTCTTTTGAAAGTCTCTGATTTTGAAATTCTTTTTGCTTGTAAGTAACAATTCTTTTCAAATCCATGTTGGCGGCCAAAATCCACATCCGAAGAGCTATTGAGGCTGAGGGAATACCTTATACCTTTGCATGCTCAAACTACTTTGCAGGATATTCAATTCCAACTCTTGCTCAATCAGATTCATTTGCTCCTCCTCCTAAAGACAAACTCACCATCTTTGGTGATGGCAATGTCAAAGGTAAGCCTATGTACATAGTACATACGACATATACATTCCTCCAAAGAGAGAAAGAGAGATCAAGAAAGGATTGTGTGTCACTTCGCGCTCTTGGATGTTCTGTCACTGACTTGATATACATCCAGACCATTATAATCTAGATCATTAATATTGCTACATTATTACTGACAACTTGGATGTGAGCCACATCAGATACATCACAACCAAAATACACCAACGCTCGTTTAGTCATACACATGCATTAGGGCTTGTTTATAATTTGTAAATTTTTATTATCATTTAGACTCCCTTAGTGTTTAAATGGAGTTATCTCTTGATTATATGTGGTTATACTATAGGGAATCCGTTTATGGTGAGAAGCGCGTTGCTATGCAGGTGATTGTTCTTGGTTTTTATAAGCTTTTATTGTTATGGGGCACTTTTGTTGAGTCTGATGTCCAATTATGGTATGTTTTTGTAAAAGGACAAATCCATTGTTCGAGTACAGCAGGTCTTTGTGCTATGAACTTTTTTAGCATGTTATTTGTGATCCATTCAGAATATTTTCTACATGGTAGCTTTTAATATAATCTGATATCATTTACATGATCAGGTGTTTAAAAGAATCCTCAAAGCATATGCAACAAAACTTTATTCTCGATTACCCAAGGGGGGTTCAGGGCTAGTTGCAGCTGCTACTGGTACAAATGGGCAAATCAAGGTTATATAAGCACTCTTTTACTTGTTGCTTGTAAGTAACAATTCTTTTTGAAATTCTCTGATTTTGTTATGTAAGTTTACACTTATATTAATAAATCAATTACTTCCCTAAATTACAGGTTCCTAGTGAGTACAGGTTCCTAGTGAAATTGGCGATTGAGGCTGACAGGTTCCTAGTGAGTATTTGACATTGAGGCATAAGTTTTTGGAAACAAATAGAGAATATAAAGTCTTTGACTGAGAAGTTTCATGTTTTGTAATCAAATGTTGATGTTGTTTGAATATTAGTTCGGTACGATATTTTCTGAGCTGAAATGTTGGTAGTGTGGATTTTATACTTTGTAGTTTTTATACTATACCGATGTATGTTGGCACTTGGACATGTTCTTAAAAAGATTGTCCAGGTGATTGAATACTATATGATTTTGACGTAGGGAGCCAAGAACAACTCAATCGGAGCCGTTGCAATAGCTCAATCAAAAACGCTGCAATAGCTCAATCAAAACTATTGCGATAGCTCAATCCAAACTGTTGCGTTAGGTCTTTTAAAACTGTTGTAATAGCTAAAAAAACTGTTGTAGTAGCTTGAAAACCGTCGCAATAGCTCAATCAAAACCGTCGCAATAGCTCAATCAAAACCGCTGCAATAGCTTAAAAACCGTCGCAATAGCTCAATCAAAACCGTTGCAATGGCTTAAAAACCGCTTGCCTTTTAAAACCGTTACGTTAGATGCGGGGGCAACAGTTCAAAAAACCGTTGCAATAGAGTTCAAAACCGTTACGGTAGAGGTAGGGCAACGGTAGCATATGAGGCGGTTTGAGAACCATTGCACTTGCTCAAGGGCGACGGTTCTATGGCTAGCGCAACGGTTTTGAACCGTTGCGTTAGAGCAAATATGTGGTAGTGAAATGTTCCAGCAGATATATGAAAAAAAGCTGCGCCAGATGTAACCAACTCTACCATGAAGCTTATTAACAGTTAATAAAAGATCTTCAAAAGATGATGGCCATGGGAAAGGGAGAGAGTAATTCTTAAAATGTGTCCAAACTTGTGCAGATAATGAGCAGGAGAAAAATAAGTGGTCCCTGTTTTTAGTAATTCTTAAAATGTGTCCAAACTTGTGCAGATAATGAGCAGGAGAAAAATAAGTGGTCCCTGTTTTCCTGATGAAAGCCACAAAAGATACACTTGTGCAGATAATGAGCAGGAGAAAAATAAGTGGTCCCTGTTTTCCTGATGAAAGCCACAAAAGATACATGTTGGATCTCCAGTACATCCTTTTAGCAAGAGGTTATCCTTTGTGTGAAGTTTGTTATTGCATAAAAGCCAGATAAAGAAATTGATTTTTGATGGGATTGAGTTCTTCCGTATAACTTTGAAATGAGGTGATAAGGAGCCTCTCTGGATGAGGAACTGGTAGAAGGATTTCACTGTGAAAATACCAGATTTAGAAAGCAACCAGACAGGATTGTCAGAGTGATGACAAATATGAAATTTTCTCAAAAAATTCAAGAGATCAGTTTTGTCAGATTGAGAACCAAGAGAAGTTATTGATTATAAATAAAAAAATAAAAAAAATACTTTATTAAAGATTGCCTAGTCTTTATCTTTATAAACAAACTTGAAGTGAATAGCAACCTTGACTGCATCATCTTTATTCTTTATTATCTATTAAACAAGAGACTTCAAATATCATAATAACATGAGTTCTGCTTTGTTCTTAATATTCGTTGTACAGATTATCTTAATTTCATATAAAATTAAAATAGATAAGCCATAAATTCATATTGAACATCGTCATATTAAGAATTTAATTTGATCTTGGTACTTGAAAATTAAATTTGCACATGTTTCTCACCCAGTGCTTAGCTGGACCACTTGCATGTTTTCACACGTGAGAAATGGTCGTGACAGCACATGTTAGGCATCAAGCTTAAAAATTAAAGTGAAGCCCATTGCCAAAGGGTCCATCGTGTTTCTCAATTTGTATTATGTTGAGCCTAAATTCTGGTAAAAAAACGTGCGCTTTTGGCTGAAGAATATTGCTTCACTAATTTTTTTCCCTCAGATTTTTTATTGAATATAGTAGAGATTACATGAAAGATTTGATGTTTTTTATGGACTTTTTCTGCATTATAAATATCTAATTCCATGCATACGTATTTTGATTTTGATACAAATGACAAATTAAATATTGAAATACAGAAAGAAAAAGTTAACAGGCTTAGTCCATTACAAAAAAAATTAAATATATAATTCCATGCATACCTAGTTCTAGTTAACAGGCTTAGTCCTTTCCTGTCCTTCTTGGTTCATCCATCTCAATCTGCTTTTCAGTGTGACAAGTCTACAATTGATTCTATTGTTCTGGGCCATGAAATTATCAGTCTATGCTATTCCAAGAAAATTGAGGCATGTATCATTAAACTAGACTTCAACAAAGCTTTCGACTGTGTTAGTTGGGACTTCCTCCTCAGTCTTCTCAATGCCAGAGGCTTTGGGAACAAATGGTGCTCCTGGATTAAATCTATCCTTTTTCCTTCTAAATCCTCTGTCCTAGTCAATGGCACTCCAACCAATCCTTTCTCGGATTAAATCTATCCTTTTTCCTTCTAAATCCTCTGTCCTAGTCAATGGCACTCCAACCAATCCTTTCTCTTGCCATAGAGGTCTCAAACAAGGATAAATCCTCTGTCCTAGTCAATGGCACTCCAACCAATCCTTTCTCTTGCCATAGAGGTCTCAAACAAGGAAACCCTCTCTCTCCCATGCTTTTCCTTCTGGTTGTTGACGTGCTCTGCAGAATGCTCCTCAACATTTTCTATCATGGAGACCTCTAAGAGCTCCACCTCAAGGGTATGCTCAATGATATTAAGTCTTTACTATTTGCTGATGACACAATTATTTTTTGTAAAGCCATCAAATCTGATATTATTAACCTCACATCCATTCTATACCTCTTTGAAAATGTTTCTGGCTTGGCTATAAATTTCTCCAAATCCTCCCTGTTCTACAGTGGCAAATCCTCCACAAAGGGTCCTCAACTGGCCAAAATCCTTAACTGTTCTTTTGCCTCCCCTCCCTTCAAATATCTTGGTCTCCCTATGAAGAGGGGCACCCTATCTAAATTTGATTGGCAACCTCTATTAGACTCCCTTGATAGCAAACTATCACAATGGAAAGGAAAACTTCTTTCCATTGGTAGTAGTCTGGTCCTCCTCAAATCCGTCCTATCCTCCATCCCTCTCTACTATATGTCATTCTTCAAACTTCCTTTCTGGCTCATTAAGAAGATAGATAAAAGTAGGCGTTACTTCCTTTGGGGAGAATCTCCTATATCTTCCAAAGGTAATCCCCCAGTCAAGTGGGAGACAGTCTGTTCTCCTAAAGCTTATGGAGGACTGGGAGTTCTTAATTTTCAGCTTTTTAATATCTCCCTCCTCTCTAAATGGCTTTGGAAATTTTTTGATAATAACAATCATGTAGGTAAGATTCTCCAATCCATTTCGCTCGCCTTATCACCGAAGGGAATAAAGTTTACTCGTCAAATCTCCACAAACCTGCCTCTCCCTTCCTCTGCTCCAGATTCTGGAAAGATATCTTTTCTTGCTACCAATTCTTCTCTGGTTCTGTCCACTGGAAACTGGGTTCTAGGTCCAGTGTCCTCTTTTGGGAAGATAAATAGATTGGAGCTAACTCCTTAGCTAGCCTCTTCCCCAAGGCTTATCTTCTGGCATTCTCTAAATATGTCCCCATAGCTTCCCAAGGCAGAGTTCAAGGGGTAGGTGGATTTGGAAACCTATCATCAGGAGTCCTACCAATGATCAGGATATAGCCTAAGTGCTAGCTCTTATGTTACTTCTTGCAGAATGCAACCTAATCCTATCATTTGCAGCAGACAGTCCAACTTGGTCTCTAACTGTAACTAATCAATTCTCTGTCAAGTCTCTCTACTCTATGCTAGCAGATGGTGGCCTGCGTTTCCAATACATTTCTTCTATTTGGAATAAGTTGCTGCCCAGCAAAGTTCAAATTTTCTTTTGGCTCTTGAGCCTTCAAAGGCTGAAGACGAAGGACATGCTTGTAGGCATCGAAAATTGCCTATAGGTCTCCACGAATAGCTCAGTGTTAAGGAACGACAATGAACGTCACCATCTGGTTCACAGGAGTTCAATTGACGTCGGTGAACGTTTGAAGTGAATCGACGAACTACGTGAACTGACAGAATTTCGGAATAACGAAGGCACAGGCTAATCGAGAGCCCCGCGATGTTTATGGGGACGCCCCAGGGGTGTCCTAGATTTTTGGGGACGCCCCAGGGGTGTCCTAGATTTTTGGGGACGCCCCAGGGGTGTCCTAGATTTTTAAGGACGCCCCAGGGGTGTCCTAGATTTTTGGGGACGCCCAAGGGGTGTCCTAGATTTTTGGGGACGCCCTAGGGGTGTCCTAGATTTTTGGGGACGCCCCAGGGGTGTCCTAGATTTTTGGGGATGCCCCAGGGGTGTCCTAGATTTTTGGGGACGCCCCAGGGGTGTCCTAGATTTTTGGGGACGCCCCAGGGGTGTCCTAGATTTTTGGGGACGCCCCAGGGGTGTCCTAGATTTTTGGGGACGCCCCAGGGGTGTTGCCTATAAATAGAAGTCTTAGGCCTCACTTTTTCAGGATCTGGATTTTTGGAGAATTGGCGAAGCCCTGCTGGAGTGAAGAATGATCGAGCACTTCAACACAAGAGATCTCTTCATCAGATCTACATCACCCACATCCGTTCCTTAGCATTACCCCTCGTCGGTAATCCTAAGAAGAGCAAATATCTCGCTTTATCCGAGATAGGCGCTTCAAGTTTCTAGATCTCCTCGCGGATCGATGAAGCTCTGGATCAGATCTGATTGCCAGGTAGTCCACGGATATCGACGTCCCCGTCACAGGCTAAAGACCCTGTAGGGTGAATATTTGATTTCCCGAAGAAAAGGGAGTTTCGTTTGTATTTATAAGAAAGCTTATTACAAACTAACAAATCAAATGTTTACAACAGAAGCAGAGGGAAAACCCTCTTTGTTTTGTGTGGGGACTTTAGGTGGCTACAGGATGCTTCGCTCGATGCTCGTGTCGAGTCTGCTTCCCTTGGACCGTTCGAATGAGGTTGCTGGAGAGCTTCAGTTCGCAGTAGAAGCTTGGGGCAATAGAGTTCGGTTCTGCTTAGTTCACCGGCGATCGGAGCTCGGAGCTAAACAGTGATGCTGCAATGCAAAGGTTATGCAGAGAGCTTGGTCTCAACTCTTTTCTCTAAGTTTTGCGACCTCTCCTCCAGTGTGCCGGAAGGGGCTTTTAAATGGGAGAAGGACAACTTGACTCCTCCTTGAATTGTGGGATGTGAC